TTAATAAAATAGACAACCATTACATATAGGCCCATGTCTTTTCTTGCAGTTGTTTTCTTCCAGTAAAACTGTAAAGTAGTTTACGTTCAAACAATATGTTGCTAGCATACAATATGTTGCTAGCATACACAAGCTGGCCTCAATCTTTGGGAAGAAAGATTATGATGTTGGCAAATAATGATCAATAGTGTTTGTGTGTGTGGTTTCTGAAAGTACAGAATAGAGAGGAATTATCAGTAATTAGAATGCAATATCAGGATATAGCAATAAAATGATATTACAATGAAGTAACATAACACTGTTCTTAAATAATAAGTTGCATTGACAAAATCGCAATTATTAATAGCTAGATTTCCTTCCAATTGGCGACAGATTTTCATGTGAATATTCTAAAATAGGTGTTTCCACCAAACAGACTTATTGCAGATAAGTCAGTGTGTGATGACGTAGCGCACACAAAATGTACTTTTTCGCTTAAGATTTCATGTACCGAATAAAAATGTAAAGTTCAATGTGTTTCCATTGCATTTTCAACGCTATCGATAGCTTTATCACAAAAGCAGTTACATTAAATAGCAAATGTGCCTACTCTGGTCTTGGCACGTGCTCACAGATACAGTGTGGGAAGGCTAATCTACATAATAAGATTATTATGGAAAAGAGCAAGAATATTTTATTTGTGTGTATGGTTTCCGACTCGTAGCGGGAGGACCACAGACCATATCATGGTGTGACTCCAAGTTTACTTCGATATGATGGTTTTTATATCAATATTTGTGCAAAAAGGCATTTCCACTGCCATTTCTCACATAATTAATGTTACCAACACAAAAACATCCCACCATGTCGAACAAACAAATCTGTCGGCATTTATAAAATTGTACCGAACTTCCTGTTTCCATCACAGCTGTCATGATTTTTTTGATATACTGATATAATGATATACATACGAAACAGTAAGAAACAGAAACTGAAGAATGCCACAAGGGCTCCAGAAGGGGGCAGGACAGCAGAGCAAAGCTATGTAAAACAGGCCAAATGAATACACAGGTCATGGTCATGATAAGGCCAAGGCAGCTTCAAAGGATACAACACAAGCTAATACTTCTGTCACGATTTAATTGGATATGAACCCAAATGCAGACAACTACACCGAGCCAGAGAAGGTTTAACAGGTTTATTTACAAAGTTCAATTTGTCCAGTTTTCCAAAAATAGGGGAAGAGCAAGTCCAGGTTTACAGGGAGGGTAACAGATCCAGGTTCTGAGCAGGAGTGGTACCGTAATGTCCTAGTGTCTGTGGTGAGTCCAAAAGGGAGGTCTGGTAGTGGAAAGCAGGATGGTGGTGGCAGGAGTGAAGCGGAGGCAGGAGTCAGGTTCCAATAATATGTGGCACAGGAGAAAAGTAACTACAACAGGCCAAAAACACAAAGAGCGAAAACAAGCCGGTTGAGTCAACAGCGAGACTAACATGGTCGTCTTGACTATGATCTGACGATGAGTGGCAAGTTTGACCGGGTCTTTAAGGCTGAGGTGATTATGGTGAATGAGCTGCAGCTGGAACCCTGACTCCCGCACACCAAACTTCACTCCTGCAATCAAGAACAGACAGAGGGGAGGGGGAGAGCAAAGAGAGAGCTACCTAGCAGCAGTAGGCCTAACAACTTCTCTGATGCCATTGGCATTGTTTTACAGAGCTAATAGAATTTAGTATAACACCATAAAGGTTATACAATTAATAGCTTGTGTTTCTGCAGTTAGAAAGGTATACGCACAGAATACATTATGCTCCATTCATAGCTACATAACGTGTGATACAGTAGAAAAAACATATAACACGATATACAGAAAATATTATGATAACATAATAAGGCACTTTCTTTGATAGGAACGCACACACAAGTAATTATTAGTAAGGAAAACAACAATGAAGGCAATGCGGGCGCCGGCCGGAAAATGAGCCAGGGCAAAAAAGTTTGGGCAGGTTCTGTTCTGACTGGAGATGTGCAAATGCCTGCATACTTGACCTGGGGAAACACTGAGGGAATGCTTGAGCTCTCATCAAAGTGATATGTTTGTCTGGCTCATCTAGCTAATCCTTGTCTTACATTAGCATAGCATGCCTCAAACGTAAATTGGCCGCCACAGTGAAAAGGGCTACTTCTTTGTGAATTAATGAGGAGGCAGAATGCATCTCATTTCAAACTGTTGTTTGAAAATAAAATTGTTGTTTGTAAATAAAATAAAAATGACAAGTTGAAAAATAGCCTATAGATAATTAGCAGGCAGAATGCCTTGGTTTGAGGGCAGCACGGGTTAACTGTCCTGTTACATAACAATCACATTTTGGAACAGTGAGTGCATTCTAACATCACATACATAATAAAACTCATGCTGGGGGGACCGTCAGAGATATTTAGAACTCACACGTGAAAAGGTTAACGTTACCGACCAGTACCATGTGAGTACCTAACAGTGTGTGCCATAAGCACATCTGAAGTATCCTATAAAAATATAACTGTAGAACCTGTCATTGGTTCTACCTGGAACCAGAGGGTTCTTCATGAGAGGGTTCTAAATAGAACTCAAAAGGGTTCCCTTACACTATAGGGAAAAATCAAAGGGTTCTACGTGGCACCCAAAAGGGTTCCCCCATAGGGACAGATGAAAAAACCATGGAACCAGAGGGTTCTTCATGAGAGGGTTCTATGTAGAACCCAATTGGCTTCCCCTACAAGGACAAAACAAAGATCCCACCTAGGATTTCTAGTGAGAGGGTTCTAAAATAGTTAATTATAATCTTTTAACAATCTCTATCATACCACAGACCCGGTGGTGTAGCAGGAAATTCAAGTTGAAATCCCAAGTGAGGTTCACTCCCAAGTAATCAGACTACAGCAGCATACTGGCCCTTATAGCAATAATACATTAAACCAGCTCTAAAAATACAGTGATTTTTTGTATATTTACCGTATTTTCACAGCAACCAGTAGCCGGGACTTTTTTAACAGTGTAATGATGAACCATACAAATGGTTATACAAAGGGTTATTCAACGACCCGATATAAAAAAAGGTTCTCCATACCCCAAAAAAGGGTTCACCTACATGGATAAAATGAAGAACTGTGTTTGGTACCAACTATAATATATTGTTTTGAGTGCATCACAGGGTTGTCACTAGCTTCCACAGCCACAAAGTCAGAATTATGGCTAAACCCCACCTATTTCTACAATTTCGCTTAAAAAAAAAAAGTTTTTTAAACCTAACCCTAACCTTAACCCTAACCACACTGTTAACCTTATGCCTAACCCTAACCTTAAATACATTTTAGTTTTCATAAATTTTTACGATTTAGCCTTTGTGGCTATGGAATCTAGTAGAAACCCCATCACAGCAGTAAAGAACCCTTCCTGATATGCAAAGAAAAATGGTTACACATAGAGTATCACCCTCACCCCTGACAAAGAACCCCTCAAAAACATTTTTATTTTTTTTGTGTAGGGATGTGCGACTCCAGGGGCTGACTGAAAAGTCGTCCACAGCCATTCTTTCCACCTTATGTTCGACAGCTAGGTCTGTGTGTGTGTTCAGTCAAAACTGCAACTTCGATGATTAATGTCCCTTTGGAATTGCCTTTTTTTCTCCTACCCCTCCCTGTCTTGTGTTTGATTTCACTCTTCCCGGCCTTGCCCTCTGTATTTCCAATGTGTTGAGCTGCTATCGATCTCTGTCTGGCGTTCTGGTGTTTTTTGCCCTCTCGATGTTCTCTCTATACTGTATTTCAGGTCATTCTACAGTTTTTCCGTAAAGGACAGTTATGAAATTAGAAAAACTTGACTTTTTACTAGTTTTGGTGGCTTGTGACTTGATGGCCGTCACAATGCCTGCCCTGGAACTTGCCATAACATTCAATTAATTTGCAATAAATGCAGCAACTCAAGTACTATGTAACAAATGTTAATACAATGTTATTACTAGTTTTACTACAAAGTTATGAGCAACTTAATGTAAAGTATTTCCGACTAATGCTGTATGGGGTGTATAAGTATAAAGACCATTAGGACATACAGTTGAAGTCGAAGTTTACATACACTTAGGTTGGAGTCATTAAAACTCGTTTTTCAACCACTCCACAAAATTCTTGTTAACAAACTATCGTTTTGGCAAGTCGGTTAGGACATCTACTTTGTGCATGACACAAGTAATTTTTCCAACAATTGTTTACAGACAGATTATTTCACTTATAATTCACTGCATCACAATTCCAGTGGGTCAGATGTTTACACACATTAAGTTGACTGTGCCTTTAAACAGCTTGGAAAATGTGGATATATTGAAGCAACATCTCAAGACATCAGTCAGGAAGTTAAAGCTTGGTCGCAAATGGGTCTTCCAAATGGACAATGACCCCAAGCATGCTTCCAAAGTTGTGGCAAAATGGCTTAAGGACAACAAAGTCAAGGTATTGGAGTGGCCATCACAAAGCCCTGACCTCAATCCTATAGAACATTTGTGGGCAGAACTGAAAAAGCGTGTGCGAGCAAGGAGGCCTACAAGCCTGACTCAGTTACACCAGCTGTCAGGAGGAATGGGCCAGAATTCACCCAACCTATTGTGGGAAGCTTGTGGAAGGCTACCCGAAACGTTTGACCCAAGTTAAACAATGTTAAAGGCAATACTACCAAATACTAATTGAGTGTATGTAAACTTCTGACCCACTGGGAATGTGATGAAAAAATAAAAGCTGAAATAAATCATTCTCTCTACTATTATTCTGACATTTCACATTCTTAAAATAAAGTGGTGATCCTAACTGACCTAAGACAGGGAATTCTTATTAGGATTAAATGTCAGGAATTGTGAAAAACTGAGTTTAAATGTATTTGGCTAAGGTGTATGTAAACTTCCGACTTCAACTGTACATCTATTCAAAATGTATAATGTCTGTTAGAGTGAGTGTGATGCCCACACTCTTTCCGTCTATCTCTGGATCAATAGAAATGAGAGATAGAGGTAGCATTTAATAGAGCTTGCTTTCCAAATCAATACAGATTTATCCAACAGGTCAACTGTATCTTCTGAGCACTTTCAGATACCACACGTTACTATTTAGTTATGAAATGATACAGTGAGTGCACTGCTATAGTCTTACTCTCAGAAAATTATATTGATTTAGCCCGAAGCCATCGAAAAGCTAATATATTATTAGTGAGGAGTATTTTGAACCTGCTTTAGATCTCTCGTTCGGTGCACTTTGCCAGTGTCTAGTTGTTTGGGGATTCCAAGAGAGGGATGCTTGTAATGGAGTCTTTAATTAATGTGGTTAAAGAAAGACACAGCTAAAGATATAAGCTACATTTAATGTCTACACAGCTCTGGGTTTACAGTACAACCTGTCCGGAAGGCAGATCTGTGTGTGTGTGTATGGCATGTGTGCATGGATCTGTGAGTCATCAGTGTCACCACTCCCACTCTTCCCGAGTTCCCCCTACTCTCTGGCTAACAACAATGTATAAAATACCCATAATAAATATTTAAAAAATGATGAACTCACACCTTCACCACTCTTTTCCCCTCAGCTCCCCCTGCTCTGCGGCTTTCTGTCAACGAGACCTTGGTGGTAGACCCCGGGAAGGACGTGACCCTGTCATGCGAGGTGACCGCCGGATTCCCTAAGCCCACCGTCACCTGGTCGCGCTACCTCAACCCGTTGCCGAGAAACTCGTTGGTAAGAGACGGGACTCTGACGCTGCGCTTAGTGACGCCCGCTGACTCAGGCTTCTACAACTGCACGGCAGTCAACAATGTGGGGAATCCGGCCAAGAGGAACGTCAACCTCCTCGTCCGAAGTGAGTGTGTGTGTATGTTTGGGCATGTCTGGAGGGTTCGAATTTGCACTGATATACAGTCGGGTCTGAAATGATTGGCACCCTTGATAAAGATGAGCAAAAAAGACTATATAAAAAAATACACAAATACTGAGTTACAGTATATTGAATGCTAAAATAATGGGGAAATTATATTATTGTATAGTAATACAATTGCTTAGAGAACAATTTTTTTTTTTTAAAGTAATCAGTTTTTTTCTCAAAAAGAAAGGGGTCAAAATTATTGGCACCTCTGTTTTCAATACCTTTCAATACCTCACCTTGCGAGGATAATGGCACTGAGCCTTTTCAAAAAACAATTTCAATGGGGTTCAATTCCGGAGACTTTGATTTTGTTGTCAATTAACCTCTTAAGGATCGGAACCTTTTTTTCAATTTTCGCCTAAAATGACATACCCAAATCTAACTGCCTGTAGCTCAGGACCTGAAGCAAGGATATGCATATTATTGATACCATTTGAAAGGAAACACTTTGAAGTTTGTGGAAATGTGAAATTAATGTAGGAGAATATAACACATTAGATCTGGTAAAAGATAATACAAACAAAAAAACATGCATTTTCTATTTATTTTTTTGTTCCATCATCTTTGAAATGCAAGAGAAAGGCCACAATATAATATTGCAGTTTAGGCACAATTTAGATTTTGGACACTACATGGCAGCAGTGTGTGTGCAAAGTGTTAGATTCATCCATTGAAGCATTGCAATACTGGACTATTTTGTATCAAGTCTGCCCAAATATGCCGAATTGGTCAATTGATACATTTTCAAGTACATAACTATAGAGAACATACAAAAACAAAAATTCAGAAATTACAGAATAAGACCAGTACAATAAGACCACTACATCACAGGGGCCAAGCTCCCTGCCATTCAGGACCTTTATACCAGGCGGTGTCAGAAGCCCTAAAATACTGTCAAAGACTCCAGCCACCCAAGTCATAGACTGTTATCTCTGCTACCGCACGTTAAGTGGGTACAGGTGCCCCAATTCTGGAACCAACAGGAACTTGAACAGCTTCTACCCCCAAGCCATAAGACTGCTAAATAGTGAGTTAAATAGTTAACCAAATAGCTACCCGGACTATTTGCATTGACCCTTTTTGCACTAACTTTTTTTACTCATCACATACGCTGCTGCTACTGTTTATTATCTGTCACTTTATTCCTAGTTATAGTATACAGTATGTACATATCTTTCTCAATTACCTTGTACCCCTGCACATCGACTCGGTATTGGTGCGCCTTGTACATAGACAAGTTATTGTTACTCATTGTGTATTTATTATCAATTTCATTTTTACATGTTTTACTTTTCCATTATTTCTCTATTTTCTTTCTCTCAGTATGGTTGGGAAGGGCCCATAAGCATTTCACTGCTAGTGTACATGTGATGAAGCATGTGACGAATATTTTGTTGTTGTTGATTTATCTAAAGATAATATTTGAATGTTAAGGATATTGTGATAAAATTTTGAGACGGTCCCAATGTTTTCCCTTTGATAAAGTAATTCAATCATCTCATCGATAGGAGTTACCAGCGCAGTATTTTTTTGTAACAATCCTTTTTAACAATGAATTACCTTACTTGAAGGTACCTATACAAATGTGTTTAGGATATTATTTAAAAATGTGGCCTTTGAACACTGGAGAGAATCTACAAAGCCCTCTCTCTTCCCATTCCCTAAATCCTTGGGACATAGTAGCAGGTAGGAAGGCTAGGTTGTGGAATATAGGCAAGTGTCTAAAAATGTCATTACTCAGTTTATATTTGCGTTGAACTTTCCTCTATGTCTTCAATGTATGAGTGATAATTGGATTTCATTTAATCCTGCCAACAGAAATAAGGTCTGCTATAAAGGGTAGACAATGTAAAGACATTATAGCACAATATTGACTCTCAATTTTAAGACATGACAAATCCTATGGTTGGTGAATGCTATGTGATTAACTTGCACCGCCCAGTAAGACAATTTAAGGTTAGAAGTCCACACAATTCTTTGGACAGCTGTAGTTTTTTATAACTTATATGAGCCTTCTTCTTTTGCCATAAAAATTTGCCTATTGCTGTATTTAGGCGAGTAAAGGTTTTAGCAGGAATTTTACATTGAAAACAGATAAAGCAGTCTCGGTAAGAAATACATTTTCAGTGAAGCAACCCGACCTGCTAGAGACATAGGGAGGGGCATCCAACGGTCTAGATCTTCAGTAATTTTACTAACCACAGGAAGGTAGTTCAAAGCATATAGTTTCCCATAGTCTGACGTAACATTAACACCCATGTAGTGCATGCTCGTATCAGTCCATGAGTAGTTGGCTTTGATACTTGAGGGTGCATCACCAAATGTCATCATTGCAATAGTTTTACAAACATACATTTTATAGCCTGATGAAGCACCATATTCATCTATGAATTAATTGATTAATTTTGTTACTATCTCCAAAATGATTTTTGCTTAAATCTTTGTAAATATTTTAGACTTACAATTTAGTAAACTTACAGGTCTATGGGAACCATAGTCTAGTGGGTCCTTCCCAGGCTTCTTTAAAAGGGTGGTTGCTTCACGCCAAGTATCTGGGTATTTATTGCTCTCTATAACCTCATCAACAACCCCTCTGATTAGTGGTATTAGTTATTTACTGAAAGTTTTATAAAACTCACAGGGGAACCCATCAGAATCCGGACACTTCACATTTTCTTGCTTCTGATGGCTGCTTCTATTTTTAAATCAGTAATGGGGGCATCTAAGGCTGGAATGGGCTACAAGACCATCGCCAAGCAGCTTGGTGAGAAGGTGACAACAGTTGGTGCGATTATTCGCAAAAGGAAGAAACACAAAATAACTGTCAATCTCCCTCGGCCTGGGGCTCCATGCAAGATCTCACCTCGTGGAGTTGCAATGATCATGAGAATGGTGAGGAATCAGCCCAGAACTACACAGGAGGATCTTGTCAATGATCTCAAGGCAGCTGGGACCATAGTCACCAAGAAAACAATTGGTAACACACTACGCAGTGAAGGACTGAAATCCTGCAGCGCCCGCAAGGTCCCCCTGCTCAAGAAAGCACATATACAGGGCTGTCTGAAGTTTGCCAATGAACATCTGAATGATTCAGAGGAGAACTGGGTGAAAGTGTTGAGAACAAAATCGAGCTCTTTGGCATCAACTCAACTCGCCGTGTTTGGAGGAGGAGGAATGCTGCCTATGACCCCAAGAACACCATCCCCACCGTCAAACATGGAGGTGGAAAAATTATGCTTTGGGGTCATAGGTATTCCAGCATGACAATGACCCAAAACACACGGCCAAGGCAACAAAGGAGTGGCTCAAGAAGAAGCACATTAAGGTCCTGGAGTGGCCTAGCCAGAAATTGTAGAATACAATGTTTATGCTGTATATACAGTACCAGTACCAGTCCAAGGTTTGGACACACCTACTCATTCAAGTTTTTACTATTTTCTACATTGTAGAATAAGACATCAAAGACATCAAAACTATGAAATAACACATATGGAATCATGTAGCAACCAAAAAGGTGTTAAACAAATCAAAATATATTATATACTTGAGATTCTTCAAATAGCCACCCTTTGCCTTGATGAAATCTTTGCACACTCCTGGAGCTTTGCACACTCTTGGCATTCTCTCAACCAGCTTCATGAGGTAGTCACCTGGAATGCATTTACATTAACAGGAGGCCACTGTGTTCTTGGGGACCTTCAATGCTGCAGAGATTTTTTGGTACCCTTCCCCAGATCTCTGCCTCAACACAATCCTGTCTCAGAGCTCTATGGGCAATTCCTTCGACCTCATGGCTTGGTTTCTGCTCTGACATGCATTGTCAACTGTGGGACCTTATATAGACAGGTGTGTGCCTTTCCAAATCATGTCCAAATCAATTTACCACAGGTGGACTCCAATTAAGTTGTAGAAACATCTCAAGGATGATCAATAGAAACAGGATGCACCTGAGCTCAATTTCAGTCTCATAGCAAAGGGTCTGAATACTTATTTAAATAAGGTATTTCTCTTTTTTATTTTTAATACATTTGCCCAAAACATTGAAAATCTGTTTTCGCTTTGTCATTATGGGGTATTGTGTGTAGATGGCTGAGCATGTTAAAAAAAAAAAAAATCAATTTTAGAATAAGGCTTTAACGTAACAAAATGTGGGAAAAGTCAAGGGGTCTGAATAATTTCCGAAGGCTGTATCTAAATTCCCAGTCATGTGAAATCCATAGATTAGGACCTAAATTATTTATTTCAATTGACTGATTTCCTGATATGAACTGTAACTCAGTAAAATCTTTGAACTTGTTGCATGTTGCATTTATATTTTTGTTCAGTGTAGAATACAGTGTTGATTTAAATGTTTCAACATTCTCTATTACATTCTCTTATAGGATTTTTGAAAAACATGGTAGTACAGATATTGGGTGATAATTTGCAAAATATCTGGTATCCCCAGATTTATAGAGGGGGATAACTTTGGCAATTTTCAAATCTTTAGGAACAATACCAGTTTACATTGATTTTGTGAAGATATACACTACCAGTCAAAAGATTGGACACGCCTACTCATTCAAGGGTTTTTCTTTATACACTGCTAAAAAAAATAAAGGGAACACTTAAACAACACAATGTAACTCCAAGTCAATCACACTTCTGTGAAATCAAACTGTCCACTTAGGAAGCAACACTGATTGACAATAAATGTCACATGCTGTTGTGCAAATGGAATAGACTACAGGTGGAAATTATATGCAATTAGCAAGACACCCCCGATAAAGGACTGGTTTTGCAGGTGGTGACCACAGACCACTTCTCAGTTCCTATGCTTCCTGGCTGATGTTTTGGTCACTTTTGAATGCTGGCGGTGCTTTCACTCTAGTGGTAGCATGAGACGGAGTCTACAACCCACACAAGTGGCTCAGGTAGTGCAGCTCATCCAGGATGGCACATCAATGCGAGCTGTGGCAAGGTTTGCTGTGTCTGTCAGCGTAGTGTCCAGAGCATGGAGGCGCTACCAGGAGACAGGCAAGTACATCAGGAGATGTGGAGGAGGCCGTAGGAGGGCAACAACCCAGCAGCAGGACTGCTACCTCTGCCTTTGTGCAAGGAGGAGCAGGAGGAGCAATGCCAGAGCCCTGCAAAATGACCTCCAGCAGGCCACAAATGTGCATGTGTCTGCTCAAACGGTCAGAAACAGACTCCATGAGGGTGGTATGAGGGCCCGACGTCCCCAGGTGGGGGTTGTGCTTACAGCCCAACACCGTGCAAGATGTTTGGCATTTGCCAGAGAACACCAAGATTGGCAAATTCGCCACTGGCGCACTGTGCTCTTCACAGATGAAAGCAGGTTCACACTGAGCACGTGACAGAGTCTGGAGACGCCGTGGAGATTGTTCTGCTGCCTGCAACATCCTCCAGCATGACCGGTTTGGCGGTGGGTCAGTCATGGTGTGGGGTGGCATTTCTTTGGGGGGTCGCACAGCCCTGAATGTGCTCGCCAGAGGTAGCCTGACTGCCATTAGGTACCGAGATGAGATCCTCAGACCCCTTGTGAGACCATATGCTGGTGCGGTTGGCCCTGGGTTCCTCCTAATGCAAGACAATGCTAGACCTCATGTGGCTGGAGTGTGTCAGCAGTTCCTGCAAGAGGAAGGCATTGATGCTATGGACTGGCCCGCCCGTTCCCCAGACCTGAATCCAATTGAGCACATCTGGGACATCATGTCTCGCTCCATCCACCAACACCACGTTGCACCACATACTGTCCAGGAGTTGGCGGATGCTTTAGTCCAGGTCTGGGAGGAGATCCCTCAGGAGACCATCCGCAACCTCATCAGGAGCAAGCCCAGGCGTTGTAGGGAGGTCATACAGGCACGTGGAGGCTACACACACTACTGAGCCTAATTTTGACTTGTTTTAAGGACATTACATCAAAGTCGGATCAGCCTGTAGTGTGGTTTTCCACTTTAATTTTGAGGGTGACTCCAAATCCAGACCTCCATGGGTTGATAAATTTGATTTCCATTGATCATTTTTGTGTGATTTTGTTGTCAGCACATTCAACTATGTAAAGAAACAAGTATTTAATAAGATTATTTCATTCATTCAAATCTAGGATGTGTTATTTTAGTGTTCCCTTTATTTTTTTTAGCAGTGAATTTACTCTTTTTTTACATTGTAGAATAATAGTGAAGGCATCACAACTATGAAATAACACATATGGAATCATGTGGTAACCAAAAAGGTGTTACACAAATCAAAATATAGTTTCTGTTTGAGATTCATCAAATAGCCACCCTTTGCCTTGATGACAGCTTTGAACACTCTTGGCATTCTGTTAAAGTGATACAGGCATCGGCACACTGCTTCGAAGTACACTGCTTAGCAATTTTGATGCATGTCTCAGAGCTCCGGTATCAAACGTAACATGACTACTATTTTCCCAGCTCTGTGTCGTTTTTAACCTAACATTTTGTACCAGTGTACCAAGAGAGAAAAGGGGAATGAGGAAAGTAGGCGATATCGTTTTTTCTAGATTAAATAAATATTTTATCATCCTGACAAGCTGTAGGTTACAGATTAATGAATTAGTCCAGCAATAAGGGCCCAAATATGAGCATAAATCCAGGTAGTTTCAAGTCTTTATTCAAACAAGGGGTTGCTTCAGTAGTCAATATGGACTGGAAAATGTTCCATGGTAGATTTAGGCTACTTCTTGGGCCTTGAGTCCTGTCTGTCACTCCTTCTGGGCCCAACAGTTTGCCTCATAGTCGGCATATTTTTTGGACCCTGTCCTTGTGTCTGGAAGGTGGTATAATCCCAATGGAGCGCAGGAAGGACTCAGCATCAAGGAACAGAATCAAAGGTTCTTGTGCTCATGGGTGACACGCAGCTTCGCCAGGATGTTTTTGGCTGCCAACTCTTCAGTCATAATATTTTATTTACCACAACAGCTCTGCAGAAATAGTAATTGAAGATAGATATGCGCTTGTCCTTGTAGAATAGTTCTCCCTTGGTTCTCGACAGTTGCATTATCTCCTATTTCGTTTCGAAGTTGAGAAGGTGCACGATGATAGCCCTGGGCCTCTGTGTTTCCTTTGCTCCAGGCCTACGCTGGGCTGCAGGCACGGATCTGTGGGTCTTTCTATGACCAGAGGTGTACCAGCCTCAATTTTCAAGACCTCCCTCAGCATCTTGTCCAAAATGTAGACATTTTCTGCCCCCTTTCGGCATTGGTTTCGACCCCAAAAATGTGAATATTATTACAACAAGTCTCCCTTCTTTTGTAATTCCTCTACCTGGCCCATCAGGTAGCTAATAGCCTGGTCTTGTTGTATTAACTTCCCATGCGTTCCTCTTTTTTTTTTTCAATGGGGGTCATCCATTTATCATTTTCTTCAGTGTAGCCTTCATGCCATCGATAGAGGTTTACATTTTGCAGCATGAGGTGGCTGTCTCTGTTTCGGCTGTAATGGTGGCCTCTACTACCTTGTGGAGTTGGGGTCGGTGAATGGCTTAAACATTCTCTTTGAATGGCTTAAACATTCTCTTTGATGCCGTCTTTCTCTTGAATACTTATCTTTACTCATTGCCAGTCCGATTTAGAAGGTCAATGATGTACTTTTAACTTGTGAAAGTCAATTTAGGCAGAAATTGTCACAGAGCTCGATTAACACACAGTCTTCCCCCAGAACAGCAGTTGGTGGAGGGCACCCCTCTAACATTGAAGATTTAGAGCAGTTTACAATTACCAAATTGTCAGTAGAAAGGTGCAGCAAGCTCATTGATGGCTACAATAATATTTCGTTGGCAGTTATCTTGGCCAAAGGCTGTGCAACCAAGTACTAGCTCCGGGGTACCAATAGTTTTCTCCAAGCCATTTGTATTTATTTTCAAAAGTAAAATGTAAACTTACGTTTACAAAAGTAAATTGGTTCTGCAATGTTGAAAATCCAATAACAAAGTGTGGAGACCAAAAACATTTTTCAATTTCAGCTTATTTGAGAAGAAATAGGGAATTATTAAGAAAAGTACAAGGGCACCAATATATTTGGCCGCAACTGTATTGAATTACAATATGTGTATACTCTTTAAAGCATAGCTTTGTGTTTGTGTGTTTGTGTATGTACGCGCATATGTGCACGTCTACATGTGTGTGAATGTCATCCTGCTGATCTGATATTAGCTCTGTCTCTACACAAGCAGGTCCAGACTTCAGGTTGTGTCCGTCTAAACAAATGCCGCTGGCTATTTGTATCACTTTTAATCATCTTTTTTTACTCTGATTAATTGGAGCCAAGTGGAAGTAATTAAAGAAGGAGCAGACGAAGTGTGTTTAGTGTGTGTGTGTGTGTTGGGAGAGGGGTTGGGTGGGTGCGTGCGTGCATGTGGTATATTGTACATAATGAGTGTGTGTGTGTGTGTAAGTGTGTGTGTCGGTGTACTGTGTCCGTGTGTGTGTACGTATATTTTTGTATTACACATATGTGTATGTGTGTGTGTGTTTTCCCCTTCCCTGTTAATGGGAGACACACAAGCCCAGGTGGCGAGATAGCACGCAGACAAGTGCTTCGTAAGTGCAACATATGGTCTCCATCTATTTGAGTGTGGCGGGCTAACCATATGGCGGTGAAGTTAAGTCTCCTGTCCTCACCAACCCCACTTGCCAAGCTAGTTTGCATGCTTGGCGAAGCATGGAGTTACAAGGTTTTTATTTTTCCTCTCCTGCACTCCTGCACTCTCACTGGGGTGGTACTAGTGATGTAACGTTTGATACCAGAGCGTCGAGGCATGCGTCAAAGCAGCTAACTTCAAAGCAGTGTGCTGATGTGTGTATCACTTTAGCAGAAGTACATCATCAATGACGTCCAAAGCTTTGTATGATCACATGCTTTTTCAAACTGTGTGTTGCAAAATGCGAGATCCCACTTATTTCGCCGTAGTTCCGGTGCTTTTTCTGATTCCCAGCGGCTTTCAAACACTGACCTCTACTGGACACGTACTTACAAATATAGTTAGGATTCTGTACAAAAAGATTCACCTGACTGGTATGGAACATTCAGATATGTAAGGGTATAAGGTGGAATACTGTTGAAGCCACACTATTTGTTCTTTCTGCACTGTTGTTCAAATAATGTATTTTATTTAGTATAGTATAAGCTTCTGTCTTAAGCATCCTAAACAATGCAATTTTTTTTTAATAGTAAACTTGAAGGCAAAAAAGGGATGCATGATGTAAGATGTGTCATGACTCTCATGTGATGGTCCCACGTGAGAAGCCCAAGATCAGAATACAGAGAAGCAACAGTCTACAGATCTCTCTCTCTCCCGTGGTCACTTTTATGAACACGGAAGGGATTGATGTGGGGGGTTTTATGACCCCTCCCACCTTTCCTAAATGGTTTGCAACAAATTACTCCTTGTTGGTCCCTGGTATTGGCGATCTGAATGTCTCTGTGTTACAGGGACAGATTGCCACCAAAACCTTTTTCTCCAAAAGATTGGACATTGGAACGTTATTTCTAACGTCTAAGTGGTTAGAATGGTTGGTGGGGATCTAAAGGATAATCATGTCATATTGTTTATTGTTTTGTGATGTCATTAAGGATGGTATTACTAAATAACTGTATCTCTGGAAGTGTACACATTTCAGTTATCAGGTTTGCATCTAAATGTTGTGTAAAATATATGATTAAGTATGAGAATACGTTTGTGAAGATAGCAATGTGATTTTTGCCTTCTAAATGAGATAATCGTTTTTCATAGAAACTTTTGCCAGTCAGTAACCACACCCAAGTAAGCACAGACATTGGGTCGGCATGATGGAATCCAGCCAGAGTTAGGATATTGAGAATGACAGCCATGAACATTATGAGGTGACTACCCAAGCCATTTAAACTGGAACAACCATTTCAGTAACGGGTGCAAAAAATCGAACTTACTGATCAGATTAGTTTAGAAACGTATGTTATTTATTTTGTGTAGCATAAGATTATGCAAAAACACATATATATATATATATTTTTTTTTTTTTAAATCTACCTGCAATAGAGCATGCAGGGAAATATGATAATGATAATGATTATGGTACACATTTGGCTTTTTAGGGTACCACCCCAGTGACCAAGCCATTAGTTCCATTTATCTGGCAAAACAGAAATGTACCTTCACACGTACCCCTTATTTTGAGAGTGAGAGTGTGATGACTACCTTTTTATTCAAAATATTGGGTACAGAAATGTACCATTATACTCTTTATCCACAGATGTTACTAAAAGGTACTGAACAGTACCATGTGAGATCATTGTGTGTACCTCTGAAGGTACATTATATGTATTTTGTATTTTGTTGGGACAGTCATTGTTGTTAGGATGGATCTCCTTCCTTTTCTCTTTGTTTATTCTCGCTTTTTAATTGCACTCTATTCTTCTCCCTCCCTCCTACCTACCTATTCACACCTACGTGCCCTGTTTGTTCCCTCCCTCATTCTTAACTCATCACTTTCCCTCTACCTTTTCCTCTTCTTTCTCCCTCTTCCCATCCTCTCTTTCTTATGCTCTCTCCTTCCTCCTCCGCCCCTCTCTATCCTCATCCTTATTACTTTCTCTCTTATAATTTCCTCCTCCTTCTCCCACCCCATTCTTCCTTACCCATCTCTCCCTTTCTCCTTCCTTACCCCTCCTTCCCTCCTCTTGCCTTCCTTTCCTCCTTTTCCCCTCCCTACCCCCTCTCTTCCCCTCTTTCTACCGATTCCTTCCCTCCCTACACCCCTCCTCCTTCTCTCACCCCCTTCCTTCTCTCACCCCCTTCTCTTCCCCTCCTTCTACTGACTCCTTCTCTCCCTACACCCCTCCTACTCCTCCTTCTCTAAACCCTCCTCACCTCCTTCTCTTCCCCTTCCCTCCTTACCGCATCAATCCCTCACCTCAGGTATGGGCAACCTTACCTTCCAGATCACGCCCGACTCCAACAAGGACAGTGAGAGCATCCAGATGGGCCGTGACCTCAAGCTTTCGTGCCACGTGGACGCGCAGCCCCAGGACAAGGTCAACTAAATAATAATAATAATAATAATATTAATAGGGTATGACCCCTTTATAATGTCTTATAATCGTCTCATAATGATGCAGACTAAATAAGTTGAGAGAGTTGAGAAGGATGAACATTTTACGTAAAGAGACATAAGCCTTGTTATAAGACATTATAAAGGCTCATACATGATTATTACAATGAGTTACAATGAGTTCAGTAAAGTATATATAGCAATATATCAACACTATGAAATAACATCTTGCTATATTATTATACTATTAGGTCAACTACACGTGGTACCAGAACGCGGTGCTCATCTACAACTCGGACAGCCTGATTGTACTGCGCAGCGACCCAGACATGGCGCCTGGTACTAGCAGTCTGGAGATCGTGGATATGAAGTTCCGCGACCAGGCCACCTACAGCTGCGTGGCCAACTTCCCCGGGAGCACAGTGCCCGAGCTGAGGGTGGACATCAACATCACCCAGAGCAGCGGTGAGTGGACTGTTCCTTTGTTCTGTTGCCATGTTCACGTGCTATTGGAGTTATTTCCGAGTGGGAAATTTCACTAGAACATACAAGTCGAAATTACACGTGGGAAACGAAGAGAGAATGTTGTTTCCCGAGTTGCCGAGTAGTGACATTTCACCACTGACCTTTTACTTTTTCAACCAAAAGATGAAAACAAATCTGTTTATGACAATTACAATCATCAATAGGGATCATTTTATTTAACATTTATTTGATCAGGGAGTCATACTGATGCCTAGGTCTCTTATACAGATGAGCCCTGAAATACATAAATTACAGAAAATACATACATGAAAATATAAATATAAAATGCAAGCAGAAAGAAAAACACAGTCATAAAAAACAAACACACATATCAATCAGCTTTCTGAATTGCCCTAGAGGCACCAGAACATCAAATTTAAAAACATTTTGAAGATTGTTCCACAAATAAGGTGCAAGAAAACTACCTAACTCAGTAGAGACCAAAGGAATTTCCAGAGTTAGCCATCCCTGAGACTAAAGTTTAGCAATGATAGGTACATTGGGACTTTTTGTAAAAGGGCTTTATAAATCAAAACATACAGTGGCTTGCAAAAGGATTCACCCCCCTTGGCATTTTTCCTCTTTTCTTGCCTTACAACCTGGAATTAAAATGGATTTTTCTGAGGTTTGTATCATTTGATTTACACAACATGCCTACCACTTTGAAGATGCAAAATATTTTTTATTGTGATACCACAGATTCTCAATTGGATTGAGGTCTGGGCTTTGACAAGGCCTTTCCAAGACATTCAAATGTTTCCCCTTAAACCACTTGAGTGTTGCTTTAGCAGTATGCTTAGGGTCATTGTCCTGCTGGAAGGTGAACCTCCATCCAAGTCTCAAATCTCTGGAAGACTGAAACAGGTTTCCCTCAACAATTTCCCTGTATTTACCGCCATCCATCATTCCTTCAATTCTGACCAGTTTCCCAGTCCCTGCCGATGAAAAACATCCCCACAGCATGATGCTGCCACCACCATGCTTCACTGTGGGGATGGTGTTCTCGGGTGATGAGCGGTGTTGGGTGTGCGCCAGACATAGTGTTTTCCTTGATGGCCAAAAGCTCAATTTTAGTCTCATCTGACCAGATTACCTTCTTCCATATGTTTGGGGAGTCTCCCACATGCCTTTTGGCGAACACCAAATGTGTTTGCTTATTTTTTTCTTCAAGCAATAGCTTTTTTCTGTCCACTCTTCCGTAAAGCCCAGCTCTGTGGAGTGTACGGCTTAAAGTGGTCCTATGGACAGATATTCCAATCTCCGCTGTGGAGCTTTGCAGCTCCTTCAGGGTTATCTTTGTTGCCGCTCTGATTAATGCCCTCCTTGCCTAGTCCGTGAGTTTTGGTGGGCAGCCCTCTCTTGGCAGGTTTGTTGTGGTGCCATATTCTTTCAATTTTTAATAATGGATTTAATGGTGGTCTGTGGGATGTTAAAAGTTTCAGATATTTTTTTATACCCCAACCCTGATCTGTACTTCTCCACAACTTTGTCCCTGACCTGTTTGGAGAGCTCCTTGCTTGCTAGGAGGTACCCCTGGCTTAGCGGTGTTGCAGACTCTGGGGCCTTTCAGAACAGGTGTATATATACTGAGATCATGTGACTGGTCATGTGACACTTAGATTGCACACATGTGGACTTTACTTAACTAATTATGTGACTTCTGAAGGTAATTGGTTGCAACTGATCTTATTGAGGGACTTCATAGCAAAGGGGGTGAATACATATGAACGAACCATTTTTTTTTTTCTTCATTCCACTTCACCAATTTGGACTATTTTGTGTATGTCCATTACATGAATTCCAAATAAAAATCTATTTAAATTACTGGTTGTAAAGCACTGTAGCAATGTATCATCCTACGTGACATGAAAGAGGGCCAATCATTCTGAAATTAGCCCACCCAACTACCTCATCCCCATATTGTTATTTATTTTGCTAATTTGCACCCCAGTATCTCTATTTGCACATCATCTTTTGCACATCTATTAATCCAGTGTTAATTACGAAAATTTAACTATTTTTGCACTATGGCCTATTTATTTATTGCCTTACCTCCATAACTTACTACATTCGCACACACTGTCAGCTTCTTAACTAACTCATCAAAATGCTTTTTAAAAGATAGCTTTTCATCTATCCAAGACAAAGGAGATGATTGTGGACTACAGGGGAAAAAAGAGGACTGAGCACGCCCCCATTCTCATCGACGGGGCTGTAGTGGAACAGGTTGAGAGCTTCAAGTTCCTTGGGGTCAACATCACCAATGAACTATCATGGACCAAACACACCAAGACAGCCGTGAAGAGGGCACGACAAAGCCTATTCCCACTCAGGAGACTGAAAAGATTTGGCATGTGTCCTCAGATCCTCAAAAAATTCTACAGCTGCACCATCGAGAGCATCCTGACTGGTTGCATCACCGCCTGGTATGGCAACTGTTTGGACTCCGACCGCAAGGCACTACAGAGGTAGTGCGTACGGCCCAGTAAATCACTGGGGCCAAGCTTCCTGCCATCCAGGACCTCTATACCAGGCGGTGTCAGAGGAAGGCCCTCAAAATTGTCAAAGACTCTAGCCACCCTAGTCATATACTGTTGTCTCTGCTACCACACGGCAAGCAGTACCGGAGTGCCAAGTCTAGGTCCAAAATACTTCTCAACAGCTTCTACCCCCAAGCCATAAGACTCCTGAACAGCTAATCATGGCTACCCGGACTTTTTGCACTAAATGGTATCCACCAATGGTAACATGATATCCTCTTACGTAACTTAACTAAGTATCGCCTTGTAACCAACATCGGAGAAGGCGTGTTTGCGGAGGGGCATGGTTTATGTAACTAGATAGCTACTTTAATGGTGCCAAAATTTGAATGTAGAGTGACAGCAAATGTAATTACAAGTTTACAATATTCATGTATGACAAAGATGTGTCTGGTGTTAGTTAGTTACTGACTAGCTAGGTCTTCAGCCAGCATGGACAAAATGAGGGGAAGGGTCATTCAAAACTCTGACGCAGTTGTCATGTCAACACATCCATCAGTGCTGCTTTAAACTGCATCACAAGATTCATTCCAAATGGGAGATGTATAAAATATATATATACAGTTGAAGTCGGAAGTTTACATAAACTTAGGTTGGAGTTTTTCAACCACTCCATACATTTCTTGTTAACAAACTATAGTTTTGGCAAGTCGGTTAGGACATCTACTTTGTGCATGACACAAATAACTTTTCCAACAATTGTTTACAAACAGATTATTTCACTTATAATTCACTGTATCACAATTCCAGTGGGTCAGAAGTTTACATACACCAAGTTGACTGTAACTTTAAACAGATTGTACAATTCCAGAAAATGATGTCATGGCTTTAGAAGCTTCTGATAGGCTAATTGACATCATTTGAGTCAATTGGAGGTTTACCTGTGGATGTATTTCAAGGCCTACCTTCAAACTCAGTGCCTTTTTGCTTGACATCATGGGAAAATCAAAATAAATCAGCGAATACCTCCCCCAAAAAATTGTAGATCTCCACAAGTCTGGTTCATCCTTGGGAACAATTTCAAAATGCCTGAAGGTACCACGGTCAGCTGTACAAACAATAGTACACAAGTATAAACACCATTGGACCACACAGCCGTCATACCGTTCAGGAAGGAGACACGTTCTGTCTCCTAGAGATGAACGTACTTTGGTGCGAAAAGTGCAAATCAATCCCAGAACAACAGCAAAGGACCTTGTGAAGATGCTGGAGGAAACAGGTACAACAGTATCTATATCCACACTAAAAAAGAACTGAAAAAGTGTGAGCGAGCAAGGAGGCCTAAAAACCTGACCCAAAATTCACCCAACTTATTATGGGAAGTTTGTGGAAGGCTCCTCAAAACACTTGACCCAAGTTAAACAATTTAAAGGAAATGCTACCAAATACTAATTGAGTGTATGTAAACTTCTGACCCACTGAGAATGTGATAAAATAAATAAAAGCTGAAATAAATCATTCTCTCTACTATTATTCTGACATTTCACATTCTTAAAATAAAGTGGTTATCCTAACTGACCTAAGACAGGGACTTTTTCCTAGGATTAAATGTCAGGAATTGTGAAAAACTGATTTTAAATGTATTTGGCTAAGGTGTATGTAAACCTCCGACTTCAACTGTATATATTATATAGACCATTGATGCAATTTCAATGTTGCTTTGTCTATCACCAAATTAGCTTGAGATGATTCTACTGCAATATTGCTCACTGCATCCAAGTTTCTTGACATAGCTGTTTCAAAGAGTCATATTGGCCAGTCACCCTCTTTTCACCCTCTTTTCACCCTCTCTCTCTCTCTCTCTCTCTCTCTCTCTCTCTCTCTCTCTCTCTCTCTCTCTCTCTCTCTCCTGTTGCTCCTCCTGGTCCTGCTGAGTGTTGATAGATGAAGGATTTGTGTTGAACTTTGACCACGGTTGCTCCGCAGTTCGCCTCGCTAGTCAACACACTGCAATTAGCCTGGGCGTGCGATAACCACTTTAGAGTTCAATAAAAATGGCCTTGCTAATGTCAACATTTAACCTTACTCGCTCTCCCCCACCACTCTTCCTCCCGTCTTCCTCATCTTCCTCTTTTTCTAATTTGTTTCCTTCTCTTTATCTCTCCATCTCCCCCTCTCTCCCATCCCACTCCCTTCACACGCCCTCTCTCACCCTTCCCTTCCCCCTTTCTCCCACCTACAGTCACTCCCCCAATTTTGACGGTGCCAGCTGGGGGCCAGGTTTTGAGCGTGAGGGAGGGAGGCACCGCCGACCTGGTGTGCCTGGTTGATGGTAAGCCCCGCCCACCTGTGCTTTGGTCGCGCGCCGACAAGGATCTGGCCATGCCCACGGGTGAGTGGGCGGTGGAGACACGTGACGGGCGCCTCCGCCTGATCAACGTCACCCGCGACCTGATGGGTGCCTACCGCTGCCAGACGGCACCCTACAATGGCCTCAACATCAAACCACGCCAGGCGCAGGTTCAGCTCAATGTGCAATGTGAGTAATAAAGTACTACATTTCCCATGAGGTGTCTGTTTATTGAGCTCTGAATAGAGTAAAGTATTTCCCAAGATATGTGTTTCTTCTCTCCTGGTCCTGGTGACCTATGTGGTGTGCAAGTTTTTGTTCAGTCTAGTAGTAACACACCTAATGAATGAATCAAGTAATCTTCAAGTTTGTGATTAGTTGAATAAGCTGTGGTACTGTAACAGAGGTAACTCAGAACCACACATGTAATGAGTAACGTTGCCTGAGACCTGAAGACCTGTGTCAGTTCACCCAGCTAATGACTATGTTGTAGCTCAACAGGCCAGCACAGTCTTGTGGCGCTCAGGAGACCGAGGTTCAAACCCTTGTCAGTAACATTAATGCTTGGCTGGAACAAAACAGACATCTGTTTGTATTAGACATTTGTGTTCGATCACCATTCTCAAGAGTCTTCATTTTTCTCACCAGCAGTTTCTAAATTACTCTAAATTGTCCTTCAGTAGTCATAAAAAACTACTGTCAACAACATTCTGTCATTAAAACTCAATCATCAATTTGTTTAAATCAATAGCTAGTAGTATTAGATTAGAATGGATTGCAGTCACTGTCTCAATTCAATTTCAAACTCACACTGGACCGTAGTAAGCTAACGATAATCCCTAAATGGGGTTGAATGCACTCTTACTAACAAACAAAACAAGGTTGCTAATTAACAAATGGTATCAGAAACCAACGCAGCTAAGTGTGCATACCCCGTTTAGTGTTTGTGCACGCCATTAGCGACAACACTAGCTAAGCTATTAGCGAACACTCCCGTTGGTTACATTTAGACTTCTTGTTTGTGCGGTAAGAGTGCTTATGCCTGCCGCGCTTCAATAATGCTTCCATTATGAAGTGGGATCGTTCATGAAGTTCAAAACCCTAAAAGCCTTAGAATTCATTAGGATTTCTCTTCTCTTGGCACAATCACACAAAGGCAAGCCAGAGAGCCTATTCATTAACTGTACAGTATGTGATGTTGCTTGACGCTCATGAAAATCCACCTTCCCACTTTACAGTTTTAAAAATGGTGCCGTTGAAGGTGTGTTGGTGTGTTTTGTCTTCAATGTGAGCTATGCCATGGCCCCCAATGTTGAAAATAAATATGTCCTCTTTTGCTCACCATTCTATACAGTTCTCTTTAGAATGTGTTATTGTGTAAATTGTGAAATAAGATCATGCAAATCGGTGGATGGGGCCATAGAGAAACATAGAGGCTCAAAAAATAGCCATGCAACTCACATTGCTTTCTGTAATATCCCTTTACATCCATTCTAAAAAATAGAAATTGTTTACAGCTTTTGTTCCATTGCCTGTATTTCCCATGAAATGTGAGGTGATGTACGGTATGCCCCCCTTAATGTTCACCCAACTATAACCTTAGCCACTGAAGAATAAGGAACAGAGGAGTAGTCAGTTGTGTCAGGGCCTGACCATGAAGCCACACAGAAATAAAACTCAATAAGAATGCACAAACTCATGTTTAGAGTCCCACCCGTTTAGCTGTAAAAATATATATACAGTACCAGTCAAGTTTGGACACACCTACTCATTCAAGGGTTTTTCTTTATTTGTACTATTTTCTACATTGTATAATAATAGTGAAGACATCAAAACTATGAAATAACACATATGGAATCATATAGTAACCAAAATGTGTTAAGCAAATCATTATATATTTTATATTTGAGATTCTTCAAATAGCCACCCTTTGCCTTTACGACAGCTTTGCACACTCTTGGCATTCTCTCAACCAACTTCACCTGGAATGCTTTTCCAACTGTCTTGAAGGAGTTCCCACATATGCTGAGCACTTGTTGGCTGCTTTTCCTTCCGACTCATCCCAAACCATCTCAATTGGGTTGAGGTCGGGGGATTTGGAGGCCAGGTCTTCTGATGCAGCACTACATCACTCTCCTTCTTGGTAAAGTAGCCCTTACACAGGCTGGAGGTGTGTTGGGTCATTGTCCTGTTGAAAAAGAAATGATAGTCCCATTAAGCCCAAACCAGATGGGATGGCGTATTGCTGCAGAAAGCTGTGGTAGCCATGCTGGTTAAGTGTGCCTTAAATTCTAAATAAATCACAGACAGTGTCACCAGCAAAGCACCCCCACACCATAACACCTCCTCCTCCATGCTTTACGGTGGGAAATACACATGCAGAGATCATCCATTCACCCACACCACGTCTCACAAAGACACGGCGGTTGGAACCAAAAATCTCAAATTTGGACTCCAGACTAAAGGACAAACTTCCACCTGTCTAATGTCCATTGCTCGTGTTACTTGGCCCAAGCAGGTCTCTTCTTCTTATTGGTGTCCTTTAGTAGTGGTTTCTTTGCAGCAATTCGACCATGAAGGCCTGAATCACACAGTCTCCTCTGAACAATTGATGTTGAGATATGTCTGTGACTTGAACTCTGTGAAGCATTTATTTGGGCTGCAGTATCTGGGGCTGGTAACTCTAATGAACATATCCTCTGCAGCAGAGGTAACTCTGGGTCTTCCATTCCTGTGGCGGTCCTAATAAGAGTCAATTTCATCATAGCACTTGATGGTTTTTGCCACTGCACTGCAACATTCTTGAAATGTTCTGCATTGACTGACCTTCATGTCTTGAAAGTAATGATGTTTCTCTTTGCTTATTTGAGCTGTTCTTGCCATAATATGGACTTGGTATTTTACCAAATAGGGCTATCTTCTGTATACCCCCTACCTTGTCACAACACAACTGATTGGCTCAAACGCATTAAGAAGGAAAGAAATTCCAAAAATTTACTTTTAAGAAGGCACACCTGTTAATTGAAATGCATTCCAGGTGACTACCTCATGAAGCTGGTTAAGAGAATGCCAAGAGTGTGCAAAGCTGTCTTCAAGGCAAAGGGTGGCTATTTGAAGAATCTCAAATGTAAAATATAGTTGGATTTGTTTAACACTTCTTTGGTTACTATATGATTCCATATGTGTCATTTCATAGTTTTGATGTCTTCACTATTATTCTACAATGTCAAAAATAGTAAAAATAAAGAAAAACCCTTGAATGAGTAGGTGTGTCCAAACTTTTGACTGGTAGTGTATAGACTGCATTCGGAAAGTATTCAGACCCCTTGACTTTTTTGTTACGGTACAGCCTTATTCTTAAATTGATTAAATTGTTTTTTCCCTCACCAATCTACACACAAAGGAAAACAGGTTTTTAGAAATGTATGCAAATGTTTTAAACATAAATAACGGAAATATAACATTTACATAAGTATTCAGACCCTTTACTCAGTACTTTGTTGAAGCACCTTTGGCAGCGATTACAGCCTTGAGTCTTCTTGGGTATGACACTACATGCTTGGCACACCTGTATTTGGGGAGTTTCTCCCATTCTTCTCTGCAGATCCTCTCAAGCTCTGTCAGGTTGGATGGGGAGCGTTGCTGCACAGCTATTTTCAGGTCTCTCCAGAGATGTTCGATCGTGTTCAAGTCCGGGCTCTGGCTAGGCCACTCAAGGGCATTCAGAGACTTGTCCCAAAGCCACTCCTGCATTGTCTTGGCTGTGTGCTTAGGGTCGTTGTTCTGTTGGTTGGAGAACCTTCACCCCAGTCTGAGGTCTTGAGCACTCTGGAGCAGGTTTTCATCAAGGATCTCTCTATACTTTGTTCCATTCATCTTTCCTTCGACTAGTCTCCCAGTCCCTGCTGCTGAAAAACATCCCCACAGCATGATACTGCCACCACCATGCTTCACTGTAGGGATGGTGCCAGGTTTTCTCCAGACGTGACACTTGTCATTCAGGCCAAAGAGTTCAATCTTGGTTTCATCAGACCAGAAAATCTTGTTTCTCGTGGTCTGAGAGTCATTTAGGTGCCTTTTGGCAAACTCCAATCGGGCTGTAATTTGCCTTTTACTGAGGAGGGGCTTCCGTCTGGCCACTAGTTTAAAGGCCTGATTGGTGGAGTGCTGCACAGATGGTTGTCCTTCTGGAAGGTTCTCCCATCCACACAGAGGAACTCTGGATCTCTGTCAGAATGACCATCGGGCTCTTGGTCACCTCCCTGACCAAGGCCCTTCTCCCCCGAAGAGTCTTGGTGGTTCCAAACTTCTTCCATTTACCCCACAATGACAAAGCCAAAACAGGTTATTTGAAATTCCTTATTTACATAAGTATTCAGCCCTTTTGGTATGAGACTCGAACTTGAGCTCAGGTGCATCCTGTTTCCATTGATCATCCTTGAGATGTTTCTACAACTTGATTGGCGTCCACCTGTGATCAACTGAATTGATTGGACATGATTTGGCAAACTCCTGTCTATATAAGGTCCCACAGTTGACAGTGCTTGTCCGAGCAAAAACCAAGCCATGAGGTCGAAGGAATTGTCCGTAGAGCTCCGAGACAGGTTGGAGTCGAGGCAAAGATCTTGGGAAGTGTACCAAAAAATGTCTGCAGCATTGAAGGTCCCCAACAACACAGTGGCCTCCATCATTCTTAAATGTAAGATGTTTGGAACAACTCTTCCAAGAGCTGGCCGCCTGGCCAAACTGAGCAATCGGAGGAGAAGGGCCATGGTCAGGGAGCTGACCAAGAACCATCCCTATGGTGAAGCATGGTGGTGGCAGCATCATGCTGTTGGAATGTTTTTCAGCGAAAGGGACAGGGAGACTAGTCAGGATCGAGGCAAAGATGAACGGCGCAAATTGCATAGAGATCCTTGATGAAAACCTAATCCAGAGAGCTCAGGACCTCAGACTGGGGCGAATGTTCACCTTCCCCTGCCCTGAATGACGGGTCGCCACTGATCCTATCAAAGGCCAATCCTCTCAGATCGACATATGTGCCTAGGGGGCAGGGGCTATGGGTTGATTTGGCTTCAGGGACAGCATATGTGGGAACTCCTTCAAGACTGTTGGAAAAGCATTCCAGGTGAAGCTGGTTCAGAAGAATGCGCAAGCTGTCATCAAGCCAAAGGGTGGCTACTTTAAAGAATCTCAA